GCTACTGTAGCCCCAATTACTGCATTTTGCTAGCATACGAAAACACATACATCAGCAAGTTTTACATTTTGGCTTTCATTTTCTACAAAAGAAAAGCAAAAGCTAAACAAAGAGTAAGAGCAGCAGGAAGTAGAACATAATTTCTACTCTACCTTGGTATTAAATTTTGCAGAAGTTAAGAACTTCCAAAAACAAACATTCAGAACAAACACAAAAATCCACCTCAAACAAACAAAGAAAACTTTCTGTTGTTTGATTGAAGGAGGAGTGCAGGAAGACAAGGATAGACCAGGGTAACTTCCAGTGACAAGAGAAATTTTTGAGTGCAGTGTGAAGTGTCCCCAGAAAACAGAATAATCTCTGTGCTGCAACACTATTAAGAGAAACTCGATTCCTCTTTCTTGAAGAGGAAAACTGAAAGCAAGGCCATAAGCTGACTTCAGTGCTGGAAATATTCTTGTCATTCAAACAAGATGCAAGCTAACCTGATTAAGAAGTCTGTGGTGCCTCTACAGTTGATGAGTATCTTTTGGACGTGTTTATCCATGAGGACTAAGGGAGGTATTATGTAGAAATGATGCAGACCTCATGAGATCTCTCCCTTTCTAATTTAATAACCATCTGGAACTTTGGCTTCATCTCCACAGGCTGGGTTGGGATCCGAGTAATCCAATCAGTCCTTTAAACTTCCTCACAAGACTTCTAGTGTCCTAATTTAACCCAGGTCAGAAATATTTAAAAAGGCATCTCTCACTCCCACTTCCTTTTCTAGCCAAAGGCAACAAAACAAGACAGTTAACCAAATTTTTTTTTAACCTCATTCATTTGGATTCAGGATACTTGATGTTTCAGTTTTGGGTCGGTGGCTGTGGTTAAGTTTTATTTTCCCTGGAGAAGGGCCCTACCTGAAAACCTTGGAGTTGTTCAAAATCCAAAACCAAAAATGAATGTAAATTTTGCAAATGGATCTTTCTGTAGACAGGCAGAAACCGCAGATTCAAACATCCACAGACTTTGGTTCTTTGAGATAGAGACTTTTTCATGAATTCATATCTTCCTTTACTAACTCTGACAATACTTTTTATTTCTGTGTTACATAATTCATTGCATGCTGGCAAAGCATCACCTTATGCACAAACAGAAAAACGGGACTTTGCTTGACTCCATTCAGATTGCAAATCAGGGAAAGAGACTGAGTAGTAACTATTATCACTATTTACCACTATCTGTTGCTAAAAACATATAATATATACTAATTTATTTGCTAAGCAAAGCTTAAAGTAGGTTTTTTTTTTTTATTCAGCTTCTGCCTTAATGCCAGCAAGATCCTAGGCAACATACAGATACAGCCTTGGAATATCAGCAAACATGTTTTGACCTTTTAGATACTCTCAAACCCCACTGTAAGTTTTCGGTGTGCAATGTGTAAGAAAAAAGAAATATTTTTACACCATTTGGTAACAGTGACTCCATCCTTTCAATACCAATTATACAGATGAAAATTGCCAGATACTGGGGTACTGGGATACACAAGATAAGGGAAGCAAAGGGATGATTGATTCTGGGTCAAAACCCAAACGTTCCTAATGCAGAATTTCTCAATAAAATGTGAAAAATGAAAGCAGAAACCATTTTAATAATATTCATCTATTCAGTACAGAGGAAGAACTTAGTGTAAGGGAGATGGAAACTAGAGAATCACTATGCCTCGCTTTCTGACAGACTGACAAGCAAATTTGTAAATAAAAAGTTATTAATCACCCATGTATCTTAAAGGCAATAAAACAAAGCATCTAATCCAACCATAATATGGTGATGTCTTTTTGGTTGTTGCTACTTGCCCACCTACAACACTAGATTTATCGCAGGGAATTCCCTGAAACTTTTAATTAATGCAATGAAATGATGTACTACCACAGTCACATCTCATCAAGGGATAATGAAATCTCTCTTAATCAAGGCATATTAGTCACTGGAGGGATACAGTCCAGTGATTCAGTGAGCAACTTTGTCACCAGAGAACTAAATTACAGGTGTCTTAACTCAGGCATGCCTGGCTCATGTGCTGCATGCAACCCAGCATAGCTTGCACTGCAGCTATCCCCTGCCATCATGGCAAGGGCTCTGTCCTAGCACCCACTGGCATTCATCAATACCTGTTGAATGTTGATGGAGACTGAGCAGTGGATGTGAGCACAGTCATCTCACATCCATCTGAATTCTAGAATTATCTCAGAGTCCCAAAAGCCATAGGTGCAACTACATCTCAAGGAAGGCTTGCAAGTAGGTCCAGAAAAGACAGGAAGATGCTATAAAAACCCTTCATCTCCTCCAAAAGGATCTTTCAGTATCCTTATGTTCCTGACAGCGTAGCACTGACAAGGTGAAATAATGCTCACTGAGTTTCTGTATATTACAAAAAGCCATTGGAGGAACGTTTAGATGGCATCACAAATGTTAGCTCAAATAGCTGTGCTCCCTCTACCTTAAAACAAGGGTGGTACTCAGAAAAATATTTCAGATGATACCAGAAAGTACCTCTAGTTAAAATTCCATTTGTCTGAATTAGTAAAAAACTGGAGGAATGTTTATGATACAGTTCCCTGCAAGTTGTGAGGATGTTTACCATAGTATTTTCTCTGCCTAGTCCCACTTCTCATTACTGCAGCAGCTTTTGTTAGCTGCCTATTGGTTAATGCCCTGCTCTCTTCACCTCCTCAATACAACATGTTGCAAAAAATGTAACCTAAAGATTTAGATACTGTTAAAAAAAAAAAAAAAAGCAGCATTGGCATTTACATGCCTATTGACACTAGGACATGTAGCACCATGCTTTTTGATGCTTATACAGCATGCACCGAAGAAATTCACTGGAAGAAGAAATTGATGGATATAAACAAATAAAATAGAAGTCTGTTTACTTCCTGGCAAAACACATCTGTATGCATCAGTACCGAGCATCTTCCTGTGTCATAAATGTCACTTCAGTCCACTCTTTGGACTGAAAAACTAGGCTACACCACTCCCCATGCAGAAAAAAGTACAGATAGAACTGAACACAATGAGAAACCCCAGATCAGGATCACTGCTTTTCCTTGCAGAGTCATGATCAGTCTTACTGCCTACTTTCAGATAAAGGAAAAGCAGCAAAAAAAAAAAAAAAAAAAAAAAAAAAAAAAAAAAAAAAAAGCAAAAAAAAAAAAAAACCCAGCAAAAAAACCCATAAGAGAGCATAAAACCCAGCTGCCCTCCCACGTAGGAGCAGAGGTGCCTGAAGAGAAACAGATCACTTTTAAACTCAGCAGTAGAGCAGAAAGGTTACAGAGCACCCTGCTCCACACACAAGTAAAGGCTGTGGCTCTCAGCCTCCCTCCTCACAGCCCTCTCCCCTGACAACCCCTGGACAGCGCCAGCCCATCCCAGATCTGGAAAGATCTGTCTATAAGGAATAAAAACAAAAGTCCTATAGTCAGTTTCTTTGATTTCTTTAACTGGGGAAGACATACAGTGAGAATTTTAAATAACATGCTTGTATTCAGAATAAAAAGCAAATAAGGAATTCACTTAGTCACATTCAAATGTGAGTGTATATTCCTTCTAAAACAATTCTCATTCATAAAGTATTTTCTCTTAGTCCTTATGAGGGCATCAACATTTCCAGCTAGCCATATAGAAGTTTTTTCTTCACATTCATCATTGACAATTGGCAGTATGAAATTACCCTGAGCTCTGCACAACCAGTATATGTTATTCCCTGCTTGTCCTGGCAAAATGTCTGGATCTGTACTATCCCTTACACCTTTCTACCACAGCCACAGCAAGCATTTGGATGGAGTTAAGACCTAGAAAACACCTTCTATGAGCAAAGCTGAGAGCAAGCACTTTGCTAAACTGCAGTACTTCTGCCAGCTCGTGCAAATGCAGCGGATCAGAGCCCAAGTCCTCCCTGCCTATTGGTCTCTTTCCTCCTGACTCCCAGCCAGACCTCTCCCTTTGCAGCTGGTCTTCTCCTTCCTGCCACCTACCTCTCCCCTTCCCAGTTTTTCTGGAAAGCACTCACAAAAAGATTTTAAAGTTTGCTCTGATAATTGCTTTTTAATGAAAACCACAATGGCTGGAAGATTATAAAGCGTAATCGCTAAATAAAGGGTTGGAGTTTAGGTCTGTTTTGATGAAGACAGTAAATAACTTTTGTTTCAGAGGCTAACTGGAGCAATCTGTGCAGTACACAGGGATGTATCTAATCTGTCTGTGCCCGAACACTGCATTAGCACAACATCGAGACAATCCTACAGGGCTCAAGATGAAGAGCTCTCTGATTTGTATTTTTATTATTTGTTTACATACTGGCTAATTGGCTGTGATCAGTATATAGAATTCACCAGGTGAAAAAAAGCCCAACTTGGTATCTTTTTCTTTTTTCCCCCTTTTAAATTTACCCTCCTTTATTTACAACAGTGGCAAAATAACTTCAATCAAAATGAGGTTAAGATTATTTTTAACAGATGTTCACTGCTGGCCTGACCCGAAATCTATTGACGTCAATGAGAAGACTCCATGGGGCTTTGGATTGGGTTCTAATTGTTGGAAAAATTAATGTTATTGTAAACCACTGGTCAGTGCTGTCACATGCTCTCTGTCTGTGCCAATTCTATATGACCGGATAACAGACTCACATAAATCTGTTCCAACTGCTGTTAAGAGGCTAAAGGACATCGGGGTTTATCTTTTTAATTCTGAAGCAACCCCAGCTCTTCCCAGCACGCCCCATGGCACTACTGTACTTACTTGACATGCTCTGCATTATGGACACTATTCACATATAACCACAACATTTTACAGTCAAATACTACGTGGAAATAATAGGATTATTAATGCTGATTGCGTGAAGATAGCTGGACTACAGATATGTATATGATGAGATACATTGGCTCATTTACTTTCTATGCTGAGTAGAAAAAAATAATTAAATTCAGACCCAAAGGAAGGGTTGCACTTACTGTTAAGAAGACGGAAGTCTATGAACGGGTAGGAGCCACGGCGCTCGGAGAGAACCCCTGTCTGACCTCTCACCCGTGCATCTCCTGCAAAACACAAAATCCCCCGAGACATTAGAAGGGGCAGCTGTCTTTCTCTGCTGTTTAGGACCAGATCTATTTTCTGTTCAATGTGATGTTACACTCCTCCAGAGGGAAAACTAAGGTCCAAAAAAATCATCTCCATGACATCCCTAGGTAACTGGGTAAAGCACTACAGCTGATCCTCTTATCAGAAAAAGGCACAAGAAAAAATGTCTTCTTCCCATTGAGCAGCTTCCTGCTCAGTAAGAACACTCTCAGGAGTATGGTGGAGGTCTTGTTTCTTTTGTCCAAATAAGTGAGTTGAATTCTCACTGTCACAGCATCACACATGAAGGGCTCGGCCTTGGACTGGGCTCACTGTCCAGCAGACCTCCAAAGCTGTGGGACTGGCCTCAAAACCATGAGAGGATGAAAAAAGCCCAAAACCAAAATACGAGGGTTGTTTTTTTGTTTGTCTTGTTTTTCTTACTGCTGCTCTTGACCATTCTGGAAAACGTCAGCTGCCTTCACTTCTAACACAGAAGCTGCTTTATTTAACTGAAACCTGACATTCTCAAATCAGCATTATTCCACAGCTTTAGAATGTATGTTTATTTCCACAGCTTTAGAATGCATTACAAAGTGACAATACAATGGTAAGTATCCCTGTATAACTCACATTGATTTGTACCTGACTTGCTATGCAACATCGATGAAATAGGCAAAACTCGTTTGAGATGAAAGATGCTACTCAGCATGTGCAGGGGATACAAAACCTCTTTCAAAGTAGACAGAAAGTAGATAGCTTTTTTTAAATATGGAAATGTAAAAATCGTATATTGTACTGTAACTTTCCCAGTTCCACATGGGAAAAATCCCAAGAACGAGATCTTAAATATTCTTAAAGAATAAGTTTTGAGAATTTAGAAGCTCAGGTCAGGGTATTCCAGCTCTCTGCAACACCAATTCCTCCTCTGCAGGAGCACAGGCCATCATGCTGAAAACATACTCACTGTACTTCCAGAGACAGCTTGCTAAAGGCCTCTCAGAGTTCACAGTACAATTATGAATTATTAGTTATTTTGAATTGTGCTTCCTCTGGGGACCTGAACACAGCATCTGAATAATCTAAACAAAAGTTGTTGAAGAATTTGGCTGCTAGTTCTAGCTTCTACTGCTCATGTTTAAAAACAAGAAAACATCTTCCAGCATGAAAGAAGGACCTAGTTAGATGCTGTTATTTTTTCTATCTAAAGTTCTCTTAAAATGTGCTTGCAATTGTTTTAAGGGAAGAAAGCCAAACAGAATGATTAAGTTGACTATTTGAAGGGGGAAAAAAATCTTCTATGCCCTCTAGGGGTCCTTAGGGGCATGAAAGACACAGGAGCATGCACTCAAATTAAGAATATTTCAAACACAGTCACTTCAGATTATAAACACAAATCTTTACTTTCATCTGGCTGTTTTGTTTCCAGTGACAGAACATGTGTTCCCTGTGCCCAGCTGCCAACCCACAGCTCCCCTGCTGGCTCCAAGGATCCAGCCTCAAGCTACCCGAGCTGCCCTTAACCCCACACACCCTTTTGCATGGCAGGAGGGGTAAACCTCTGCCTGCCCCTCAACTGTGGCAGCTCAGAGGTGTGCAGTTTCAAGCCACGTGCAACTGCAATAACTCAGGTATAGAAACCTATTCCCTTCTCTCTGGGTGGAGCGAATAGTTTGTAAAACAGTAAAGCAGGATTCATTGGCATCCATGAGTCAGATCTCCCCTGTCAGCACCCTCACATAAAAGCACTGCTCACCACCACAGGTGGACCCGCTGTGTTGGCTGACTCATGCAGAAAGGTAACAATGGCGAGCACAGGGCATAAGGTACATTAAAAAAAAAAAAAAAAAAAAACACAACAGAAAAGGCAGGCTTAAGCCTGCCACCCATCAGCTATCAGCAAATAAAGAATGGGTTTAGACTCAAAGCACGCCTTAATTGAGGCCTCTGTTTTTCTGTATGCATCAATGAATTAAAAGGAAACTGCAAATAACCCCCTGCATTAACAGACTAGGAAACATATAACTCCTGACTGACTCAACAAATGATTTGAAAGAGACAAAATTCAAACCCCAAAAGTCTAAAAAAAAAACAAACACCCCAAACCTTAAGATACGCAGTAGCGTAAGAAAGAATGATTTTTCTCTCTGAACATGAAAGAACAGACTTATCAGATCAAGAGGTACACCATAGTACTGGAAAATAACAAAATCATACAGGGTTACAAATGGAAACTCTCATCTTAACACTGTGATCCCAAATTTTGATGGAGAGACTGCTGTAGGTAGGGAGACAACTCAAATACAGAAGAAAACAGAACATGAGCTCTCCAAAGACAGACCAAAACCAGATAAAGCCTGTCACTGAATTACCTCTAATAAAATAGCTCTTAGGTAGGAAAATAACATTACAGTATATTTCGACCATATGGACTTCATCAAATGTATGAGAGAAGGCAAGAGATGAGTACAAAAATTTTAAATTGGAAAAAGACTAAAGGCAAGAAGATAACAAGATGCGCTGAAAGGAAACTTCTGCTTGTGAGCAATTACTACATGGTCTTTAAAAAATTCATACTGGGAACAGGTTTTTTTTTTCTTCCTTTCTTTTCTTTTTTAACTAATGACCTTGGCTTAGAAGAAAAGCTAGTGAGATCTAATGATAACGCAAAGCTGGGAATATACAGGTATGTACAGCTACAATTATTTTAAATAAACTTCACTGCTACTGTGATCTTCTTTGCCTCTACGGCCCAGATGCCTGCAGCTTCCACTTCCATTTTACTAGCAGCACAACTTCCTCTCACAGTGCTGTTGATATCTCCTATGGAACTAAAGCCTTGCTAACCCAAAAATATATACACAGTTCAGGAAAGGTAATTCCAACAGACTCAGAGGTGAGGGAGGTGTTGATGCCATCAGACAACACTTAATGGAAGCTCATGTAAAAAAAGAGTGCCTGAGAAAGCTCAGTTCCTCCTGGAAAAAGGACAGAGAGGGACATCTAGAATGGTGATCAGGGCACCAGAGAATCATTTCATTTAAGAAAGATCATCCTGCAGTAATCTCTGTTGCTGATAAGCAGCAGAATAAAAAAAAATAACCATCTCGGTCATCAGAGGAATTTTTATACTGAAGAAAGAGATAATGCAAGCAACTGGTGGTAAAGTCTTAATGCTGAAACTTTACCTGAAATTGGTAAGGAATGTGCATGGTAATGAATAAACTTCAAGTTAAGAACACGTGAATGAATTTTAACAAGCAAACTTGAGGACCTGAAGTCGTAGGAGATTACTGACATGATCAATATCAACTATTTGTATCATTTTACGTTTTCACAGACTTCAGAAGCTTGGACTATGTCAAACACTACAGAAATCTATATGCAGAATAAATCTGCATTCCCACTGACAATAAAAACCACTAAAACCCTTACATTCCAGGATTATTAACTCTGCCCTCAGGAAAGGCAAGTTTCTGATGAGTCAAAGATGTTATCCAGTAGCTCTACCTCATCAATCTGTTATTTCAGAATACTTTACCAGGTGCCACCTAGTCTCTCTCTGAGAAGGATTAGTTAGGAAGTGGCGGTGGGCTAAATCAACCACACCTGATTTCCTCCACTCTTTCTTGGTGAACTGATTAGGAAAACTTTTATATTCTTCTCTATTACTTTTAATTACATATAAGTACATTGAACAGAGAATCACTAAGAATTGGGATTGTGCCAGATTTGCACCATACCACATGATTTTGAATTTCCGTAAGTCAAGGGCCTTTAATGGCAACACATCAGTCTCCTTCCCTTTGACTTGATTTGGCTTTGATGGGACTTTCATCAGCCCCAGAAGATCTTTACATGTCTTTGCTCTCCACCTTAAAATCAAGCTAAACAATTGTTCTGACAATTTATACAATTAGCAGCTTAAGATAAATAATCCTTTTTGGAGAAAAAGGAAGGATTCTGTGGAAGCAGGGCAGGAAATTTTGACAGCTCATTGTGTTCCCAAGTGAAACAAACAGGGCGAAGGGAAACAGCAAGGGTACAGGTCCTCCCTGGCTCCTTCAGGCTGAAGTTGTGTGGCTGGAATGTTCACAGTCAGGGTGAAGTTGCTGCACTCTTGCTTCAGCCAAATCACCAGGACAGCTTCCAGCGAAGACCTCTCCTGGTAGTCACTGCACACTTTAATTTTACTTCATCCTCATTACAACAAGCAGATAAGAAGACAAAGCAAAGAGGTCAAAGAAAGCTGTATTAGGTAACAGGAGCCTGTGTGGACATGAGGCAGCTGACAACACATGACTGACAGGCACAGCAGCTTACAGTCATGGAAAAACGTCGAGCATGGCAAGAGCCAATGTGCTATGACAGCAGACAGGGACAGCACAGGTTCAGGGCAGAAGGGTTAAGAGAAGAACGAAGCAGCCCTGGGCTGCCTCATATATTTGGAGCAAACAGCCATCTGCACTGAAGAAAACAACTTCTCCAAGACTTGCCTGAAGTGATGTGGAATTCAATTTCACTGAGTAAACACAACAAATTAGGAGAGAAAACAGGTCTATAGCTGGGACAAAACAACCAAGCAGCCTCATGCAGCAGAAGTCAGGGCGAGCCATCTAATTTTTGATTTTATTTAGTATACAACTCCATGTGGTAAGTCAGTATACCACAGAGAATTCACAGGAGGTTACAAGTATTTATTCTGGTTAGATTTTTCTACAATTTTCATCCAAATATTTCTTAAGCTGACTTTAAGCTTTAGGACACATCCTGCAGTCTCTGAGTGCTTTCCGTGGAAAACAGAGGGGCAGTAACAAGGCCACCTGTGCATGGAACTCAGTAATATAAAGGCTTGAGATTTCCTCAGGTGGGGGAAGATGATGATATTGAAAACACCATTATTTTGGGTGAAAGGCAAGCTCAGACTGAAAGATTAAGAACAAGTAGAGGATTCCAGGAATTATTTTTGATTTGAAAT